TCCTCCATGTAAGGTGTACTTGTAATATTGATTGGATTTCAGCATATGACAAACTTCACCATCTCCAAAGACCAAGAACACTAGCAGAGTTTAACATGCTCTATTTCATTCCCTTAGGGCCGGCAGCGTTTGGATTGATGGAAAGGGAAGGAAAGGAAAGGAGATTAGTGTAAAAGAAAAGAAAGAAGAGTATAGGAAATCTGAATCCATCCATCTTATTTGGATTATGGAAGGAAAGGTAACTATCATGCATTTCAAATTATTCATATCGTCAAGTGTACACATTCCAACTTTTAATCCAATCAAATGATCAGCTGTTGCGAATATATTTCGTGGTAAAAAAAATGCGAATATATCTCATGGTAATAAAAATGAATTGTTCTCAGGGATATCAAGGTTCAATCTTCAATTCATATTTCATCGACCAATCCGTCCTAGTTCACATCCTTGTTGACAGCATTTTTACAATTTTATCCATAATTTAAAAGTCTAACATGTAACCACATAATAAGTTTTCTCCTTAAAAATTAACTTTTCACTAATCTCGATGTCATTTCCCTCCATTTCCGCCCACTTTTGGACGGAAAGGATATTGACAAAAAATAACTAACCTTATCCCTCCCTTTCCCTCCCAATCCTTTCCTTTCCCTCCTCAAAAATCAATACAAACATAAAAAAAAAAAAAAGCCCTAGAAAAGGACGTTGACAACAAAATAACCAACCTTATCCATCCTTTTCCCTCCCCATCATTTCCTTTCCCTCCTCAAAAATCAATCCAAACATCAAGAAACCCTATCCATCCCTTTCCAAAACCCTATCTGTCCATTTGCTTTCCTTTCCTTTCCTTCCCATTCCCTTAAAACAAACAGTGCCTTAGGGCGGCTCTGGGTACAGATCTGCGTTGATGGCTAATTTGGAGCTCTGATTTGGTATTTCATGTTTTCTTTCCACTCATCATCAGGTGCAGCAAATTAACTAATGTCAACCTGGATACTATGCTAGGTACCTTACAAAGAAATAGAGATATCCCTCTAGATAAAATAACTGCTCACTACGTTTTAATGAGAGTAATCTTGATAAAATGGCATCCGTAGCAGCACACTAGCAAAGGGATAAAACTTTCAAATTATCCCAAGCCAGAAACCAATTAAACACTGGGCAAAGAAATAAAGCAGACAAGCATCTAAACCAACCTCCATAAAGGCGAATCCAAAATAACTCTTTTACGTGATAGGCGAATTCTCAAAGTCCAAAAGCATCTGCACAGCACATCTAGAACCATACTTGATCAATGCCTTCCACACAGCCTATACAATATTCTTGATAATATGGACATGCAAAAAATCAAATAATTGTCCACAGAAACGAGGATTTTCAATATGATCTCTGTTGTTCGTAAGCATCAAAATGCTCGCATATTTTGCAAGCCATAATCCTTAATTTTCAACCAGGGATGGTAGTTGTACCATATTCTGATAAAAGTTTAATCTGTAGAGAAAATGTAATAATCAAACAGTACCATATATTTCAAGCTACAAAGCATACAACTCATCATCAGGACTCGGAAAAATTAAGTACGATTCCACAAAATAGCTGGTTTACCAAAAATAGAAACAGTTGAGTGCAAAATCCTAAAACAAAACTAAGATCAGCGATAGCGACGAAGGGAGAGAGTCTGGTTCCTCTTCCATGTAGCCCTTCTCGACGGCCGTGCTTTGTGGTGCAAATGCCCCTTTCCTCGAAGACCTCTGTACTTCTTCCCAGCAGAGGTAAGTCCCCGAAGCTCTCTGTGCTTGTGGACTGGCTCGCATATCCAGTGAATCCTAGGATCATTTCGGATTGCAGCATGGGCTGGGTCAACCAAGATTACCTCATAGTACTTGTAAGTAGAGTCCTGCATTCAGGAACATGAAGAGTTATGCATGAGAATACATGACATACAAAAACAAGAACCACTCAAAGGAGCATGCACACAGTTCTCATACTAAAAGCACTAACGATCAGCAGCAGTGCACAATTTTCAAAGCAAGAACTAAAAATAGTCACCATTCAAGATTCTCATTGATAAGCAAAATATTTATTATCCATCTAGAATACATATATTAAGGTTCAATCGGATCATTTTTTTCATACTGTAGCAGAATGACAACTGTATTAGCACCAACCTCATTAATCCAGTAAGAGTTGAGAACCCTGAGACCACCCAGTTTCCTACCAGCTCGCTCCTCTGCCACTGATCGCTTGCTGCGCTGAAATTTCAGCTGAGTAACACCCTGGTTTGTGGGTTTTCCATACACAATGCCCTTAGGAACTGGCCTCTTTCTTCCACCACGTCTCACCCGAACACGGTAGACCACGTAACCCTGAAAAGAAAACAATCAGAAACCACACTCTAGAACTGAAGCTGCAGGTGAGCACTATAAACCTTGACCCAGTAGAGATATTGGAGAGTAAAACAAAATAAATCTCATTAAGCAAATGACAATGGAAAAGCCATATGTCCATCAACACTACTTGTCTAGCTCAGATGACATGTAACTCATATTTAATGGTTAGTTGCAGCCAATGCACATCAAAAAGAGAAAGAAACATAAAATTTCAGAAAATGTAAGGAGTTCGGTAAGCAGATATGTCGACAAGCGAGATCCCTCCAGTTGGAAGGAATCCCGAAAACAACAACCGGCCAGTTAACTCCTATTCATTCATATAGCTACAGCCACTTTGGCAATACAAGACGGAGGGCACTACAAAATTTCACCCTTCCCTTGGTACATGTAGCTTTAACTTCTTACTCAAAAATTCAGGATTTCCAACATTATTAAACAAAATCATAAACCAAGAAACAGAAGTCCACATGAGAAATCATAGTATTTAGAAACAAGATAAATTACTGGTAACAGAAAAAAATGAAATAGACAAGTTATTCTCAAAACAGGGTTCTCTCCAAGAGGCAAAATGAATCTTCAAATTCCAAGTGGACGCTACTAAATTTAAATGGATTGAAAAACCAATAAGTTTACAGCTAATAGAAACATTTAATTGGCTTGCTTAGTAGAAAAATTGTTACTCCATAAAACACTACCAGCTGAACATACTATATTCACAAAAGAGCTATAATCAAAGTATTATAGCTGTAACTGAAGAAATCAAGCCAAAAAAGACCGTAGACAACAATACTCAAACCATACGAATCACATTTCCCGGATATTTACAGTCAAACAAGTTAGAGACCAAAAAAATTTTCTAAAAATTTTAAAAAAATAAAAAGAGATAAAATCGGTTATGAACCTGCTTGGCCTTGTAGCCGAGGCGGCGAGCCTTGTCGGGTCGGGTAGGCCTGGTGACCCGGACAATGGAAGGAAGCTGACGATACTCCCAGCAACGAACCCTCAGCAGAAATCTCATCACATCAGATTGCTTCTTCCTCCATAGCTCCGACACATACGTATATGCCCCTGAGAAAACGAAGGACTATTAGACCAAAAGAATGCATTAAAAAAGAGTGAGAAATTAGCAGGGAAAAAAAACAGAGAAATGCGCCGGCGGCGGTGGCTGCGGCGGCCTATACCCATGGCTGAGCTGGTTTCTCCTTCTCTTTCTTACTCCCTCTCTAGGGTTTAGGGCTTCGAATCAGAGACCACTGCTCCTGCTAAATGAGCTATTTATATCGGGGGTGGAGATAGGGCTGAGATGACTGTTGGGCCGGCCCTGTTATTGACCATCAACGTGAATTACCAGCGTCTGCATCTTGGGTTTGAAATTTGATTAGATATTTGATCTGGGCCCAGCCCAAGTTTTTTTTTTTTTAATTTTACCAAAATTAAACAAAATGAACATGATGATGATCAAGTTTTTATTGTAAATTACATTGAACACATTTTGTGATTTATAAATAAACCTTTTTTTTTTCAGATTTTTCGTCACCTTTTAGACATTCCATTTTTTTATTTATTTTTTTGGTATTATTTAATGTTTAATTTCACTAACAAGTAATACCATACCATGTCCGTTAAGGTAATAGTAAAAGATTTTAAATAATTACTATTTTGAAATTTTAAATAATTATTATGGTGGCATTGTATGTAAGAATATTTTATGTAACATAAGTACATCATTAACACAAAATTCTACACCATTTTTGCCATGGTAATATAATTTCAGTAACACCTATTATGTAGTAGTACATTGGTGATGATGATGTTGAAAATGTTGAGTAGTATTTTGCAGAGGTACTATTGCTAATATTCGAGATGAGCTTGGTCAAGTTGACATGTAAAATCACTTCGATACTAAAATTGCATTTATTTTACAAAAATGAATAATAATAATAGATACTTATTAGATAGAAAGGAGCAGCAAATGTTTAAAAAAAAAAATAAAAATACATTTAGCAAATCATGGCAATTCCACAAGGCCAAAACTATGCCAATTTAGCACCATGTAACACAAAAGTTTCTGTCATTTTGGAAGTCTACAGAGAGGCAGAGTTACAATTAACTCCTAAGATCAACAAACATGAGGGGTCTACATGATGATTCTCATTTTGTCTTTCTGATGGTACACAAGTCATGATCAGCAGCCACAATTAGTGAAAGCAATGACTAGCCAGTACTCTTTTATCATCTTTTCTTGAATCCATATTTCTTGCGCTCGTAGAAGAGATCTGTTTTGGCACTCCCCAGGTTAACGATTTTCGGACACCCATCGCGATCTTTCTCTTGTTGTGTACACTCTTTACAGTAGTAAGCATCTGAAATTCCCACACCCCCACAGATGACACAGCGGCCCTGAAATGATCCATAGTTGCACTCGTCGCAAACTCGCACCAGTGTGCAAGGACGCACATAAGAATCACAGATGACACATTTTCCATCGCATTTTTCACAAAGGCGTCCAATGGCGATTCCTGGCTGCTTCCGGCACATAATCAAATCAGGATGATGCTTGGCCATTGTTTCAAGAGGATGACCTTAGGCCCCAATGTAAATCAGTACCTGCAAAAATTTGGAGATCCAAGAAATTTACTCCAATGAGTAATAACAGTTTAAACTAGGGGTGTGCATTCGGTGCAAAAGCAGTAATTCGGTGCAATGAATTCGGTGAATTCGGTTATTAAACCTATAGAAATCTAAACCGTTTTCAATTTCAAATTGGCCATAACCGAATTCATTCCGCAACCGATTTCAAATTCGAAAACGGTAATGAATTCGGTCTAACCGAATACATCTATTACAAAAAAATAATACCCTGTTATCAACTTAAGTTTGCAACAATTCAGTATTAACTTCACCAGATTTGCATATAATGCACACAAAGAAATTGGGTCAGGGACATTTTATCATATTTCTTTTGGACAGAAACCTGTTCAGCCCAAAAATATTCTCCTGTTGGATCAAGACTTAAATCTAGGTTGTTGGCCAATATAATATTCAAGGCCAAGAATAGACCAGTTTCAAAGAAGCACAAGTGCATAACTTCATCCAGAATGTTGGCAAGACCTATTAATTAAGAGAATCTCCCACGGACAAGGAGGTAAAATTTTCATTTTAGCAAGTTTTTTCCTTTTTAATTTTTCTAACGGGTAAAAGGTGGAATTTTTCCCCAAGGCCTTAACTTTTAAAGGCTGCACAACTGGAGAGAGATTTCTTATGTATAAAATACAAAGCTTATGTTATATCAAATCTAATCTAAACTACTACAAAAGTGAGAGTTTGCAATTGGAAGCTCAGATTTCGTCCCCTTATCAATTAGGGGTGAGCATTCGGTGCAAATGCGGTAAATCGGTGCGCTGAATTCGGTTTTTTCGGTTATTGCACCAATAGAAATCTAAACCGTTTTCAATTTCGAATTGGGCATTACCGAATTCATGCAGTACCCGATTTCAAATTCAAAAACAGTAATGAATTCGGTCTAACCGAATTCATCTATTATGTAAAAAAAAAACCCTGAAGCAAATTAAGAGAATATATAAAACCAATCTTTATAGTTCAGCAACTACCAACCCCCGCAAGCCATGAGAAAGCTACAAATATTAGACTGAAAATATGTAAAGAAGCTAGACATATGTAGGCCTTCTACTGGTTTGTAGTTATAAAAGCTCAATTGCTCTCTTCGATATGTTCTAGACTTGCTCCAATGCTTTCCATTACTTATTCAGGAGCTGATTACTTTTATTGAGCTTATTAAGGTGACCTTTCTGCTTATTTATACATAGATGTTTCTTCTTTTACACATTGCAGAAAATTCATATCCAGAATCCTAGGTACAACTTCTGGAGCCGTACTCTCACTAGATGTGCACCAGAGATTGAGAATCTCCACGGACAAGGAGGTAAAATTTTCATTTTAGCAAGTTTTTTCCTTTTTAATTTTTCTAACGGGTAAAAGGTGGAATTTTTCCCCAAGGCCTTAACTTTTAAAGGCTGCACAACTGGAGAGAGCTTTCTTGTGTATAAAATACAAAGCTTATGTTATATCACACCTAATCTAAACTACTACAACAGTTAGAGTTTGCAATTGGAAGCTCAGATTTCGTCCCCTTATCAATTCAGGATAACAAATTTCCTAGTCGACCTTGGCCCATTTTAATGCCAGAGACACAGAGCCAAAAACAGAGGAGCACTTACCTAAGCGAGCCAGAGATGAGCAGTGATGAACCGGCGATGAACCAGTGAGATCTTGGTGCTTCGTCTTCGACACTCGGCAGCGATGAACCAGCACGGCAGGACACAGCCGACAGGAGACGTAAAGCGCGGCGGACTGGCGGAGGCCGGAGAGGCGGAGAGCAGCTTCGATTTGGGAATTGGGAATTGGGACTTGGGACTTGGGAGTGTTAGTGCTGTGAAAGCCCTAGGTGACGGCAGTCACGGCACCATGCAATATTGCAAATTTGCAATGGTTGTTTTCTCACTTTTCATCAGCTGAAGATGAAATCCGACTTTTCCCAGATGAAGTGATTTTGTAATTTTTATTTTATAAATTGGGGCTCCTAAATTATAATACATTCATTATGCTCCTCAATAATTTAAACATTATTACTGATTTGATCCCCAAATTTATTTATAATTGAACACATTACTTATGTTCAAATCATTTTGTGGTTTAATTGGCATTTATTTGATTACTTATACCTAAAATCCTTGGTCTATGATTCAAGAAACATATAAAAAGTGATTAATTTAAACTAATTTAGTTAGTAGTTACAATGAATTTATAATTTACAATGATTAATAATAAGTAATATTAGTTACAAACTTACAAATTACAATGATTAGTGATAAGTTATATTAGTTACAAACTTATAATTTATTTCAAATCAAAATAAAACTTATTTACTTACACATGTTATTGTGAAAGTCAATACACTAATTTATTGATTTGCAATTCACATGCATTCACTTACAATGCTTAGTTGTTTTGTCTATACTTAAATCCTTAAGCTTAGTAAATAGATAATATGAATTTTAACTTATTTGATCACTTATACCTAGAATCCTTAGTCTATGATTTGAGGAACACATAAACAGTGATTAATTTAAACTAGAATAAACCTTAGATTGTGCAATGATTAGTGATAATTTATGAATTTATAATTTACAATGACTTATAATAAGTAATATTAGTTACAAACTTACAAATTACAATGATAGTGATAAGTTATATTAGTTACAAACTTATAATTTATTTCAAATCAAAATAAAACTTATTTACTTACATATGTTATTGTGAAAGTCAATACACTAATACATTGATTTGCAATTCATATGCATTAACTTACACTGCTAACTGCTAAGTTGTCTTATCTATACTTAAAGTCTTAAGATTGGTGAATAGATAATATGAATTTTTATGTTAAATATGTAATGTAAATTTAGAGTACACTAATACTTGTAAGTTACAGATTACGCATTCAAATATTCAATAATTCAAACATGAATGATGTATCAAATTATCAATATCTAAATTCTAATTACTAATTATGTTTATTGTTTAATATTTAGTATTATACATATATGTATTAATTATTATCTAATTCTAGTCATGTTACTCATGTATAAAATAATAAGTATTATGGTTATCTTATATTGTTATGTATTACTATATATTTGTATTATTATAGTCATATAACAATTAACAAATATTAAAATAATATATGGTACATTATTATATATTATTATTATTATTATTATAAGTACAAGATATGATGATAATACCATATACTAATTATTATTAATAGCATTTACCTATATAATACAATAAAGTATTAGTAGTATATACTAATACTAAATAGCATTTATCTATATATTATATAATTTTATATATCAATTTGGTATTCGAATGCGGTAATGCGGTACCCGATTTCAATTACCGAATTTGAATTCGAAATCGGTTATTACTAAATTCATAATCTCATTACCTATTTTATACCATATTAGAATTCGGTAAATTCGGTACGCACCGAATTGGGATTGAATTACCAAATACCTGATTTTAAATTACCGAATTTGAATTCGAAATCGGTTATTACTAAATTCATAATCTCATTACCTATTTTATACCATATTAGAATTCGGTAAATTCGGTACGCACCGAATTGGGATTGAATTACCAAATACCTGATTTTAAATTACCGAATTGAATTTGAAATCGGTTATGAATTCGGTACGAATCGAATCTGCTCACCCCTAGTTTAAACTAATAGTATGGGTTAACAAAGTTTCATACTGAAGAAAAAGTTGTGGTTGATGCAGTTCCCTCATATCCACACTCTTTTGCTTATTTAAGAATTTTCATTAAAATCTTTTTAAGCTTTAACCTAACTGCTAGAGTAAGCTACTAGGCCCCATGTCACAATGATGAGAACAACAGTATTAAAGGCATGCCAAATGTCTGAAAATTATGTATACTTTACACAGTTACTGCTATACACATTAAACAGAATTGGACAACAACCAAACTCTCCCCAATTTCCCTTTTGCCACCTGGTCGAAAAATATTAGCTTAAACTCTCAACATGGATTATTACCTATTAACCAAATTACATTTACGGGTCGCAAGATAAAATCAAAAGTAGTAAAGGAAGACTACCAAAAAGCAATAGTGATAAGAATAAGATAAAAGTTGCACCCAAATAGGGATGGCAATGGGGGCGGGTGCCCGCCCCGCGGGGGCTCACGGGGCGGGGGTTGGGGTGGGGCGGGGGGGGGAATTTTTTCCCCCCGCTTAGAAACGAGGCGGGGGCGGGGGTATACCCCCGCCCCATCCCCCGCCCCGCCACCCGCAAAAAAAAAAAAAAATATATATATATAAATGACTATATATTATATGTAAGTTAATTAGTTATAAACTTATGATAATGATATTATTAGTTAGATGTATTATATAATGTATATTAGTTTATGTAATATAATTGATATTATCAATTATATGAATAATTATACATGTCTACTAATAGAATTTATTAATTAGTTATACTAAATTTACTAATACATTTATACTAAATTTCTAATTACACTTAATAGAATAACACTTTTTTCTCAAAAAAAAGCACAAACACAATGATGAATTAGTGATTGCATTTGTACTAAAAGTGAAAATTTGACTATTTTAGTTATATTTATTTCATCATATTGGATTGTATTCAAATAACTTCTGTTTGATTGTTTTTATGAGTTTCAATTGTAAAATTACAATGAATAATAATTTGGTGATGTGTTGATATTTTAGTACTTGATTATTTATTAAATTTTAATTATAATAAAATTTTATTAACCCCGCGGGGGAAGCGGGGCAAGGCGGGGCGGGGTGGGGGGAGCGAGAGGCGGGGGACGGGGGACGGGGGAGGGGTCCCCCGCCCCAACCCCGCCCCGTTGCCATCCCTACACCCAAACTTAGACAGACTAACTGATAAAGGACGACTCTGTATCTGAAAATTGAAGCTGTACTCAAGGTCTGGAGCATGAAGGCCTTGTATTCTACATATTCTGTACAAAGTAAAGCGAACTTAAAATGCACTAGCAAACCAACCAAGCACTTCAATCGTAACATAGGCAAGGCTATTGCCATAGTACTTTTGATTTAATCTGTTCATCTAACAGCTAGGTAGGCTTGAATCATGACTTTAACATCAAGATTGATAACAAGATCAATTGAGTAGATTTGATACACTTATCCCCGATTTAATCTGTCAACTGCTAGGGCATGGCATGAACAAAGCAACAATCGAAAAGGTTAAGATAGTTAGCATTAGTAACAAAAGGTGCAGCATGTATTGATTATGACAGAGAACATGAATATAGCAAAGTGTGTGCATATCATAAAATATAATACAGGTTCCAAAATAGTTTGCTAGTTATATCTTTGTCCTACAACAAATAAAATGATATTGCATCATATCATCTATTGAGTAGCACTTTACCAAAGAAGTGAAAATCGTAGCTTTATCTCCAAAATGAATAGAGTTAGGCCCTTCCCCCATAATTATGGCATGCAACTTCTTGTTGTCTGTAGATATCGAGTCCTAGTAATTCAAGGTCTCAAATCAATACATAAATCTCCAAAAACAGAAAATGACATTTCTCTTTGGTACATGTAACTCTTTCAAGATTAGCCCAACACTGATTATTTTTTATCTTCATTCTGGAACTCATAAAGATGCACCAGTCATTACCATCATTTCAAGAAGAGAAACATCCCTTTGCCATAAGCTTATGCCATGTACTCTCATTGACAGTAAAGTTAAGCAAGAATGAAAATTCCACCGCCTCATGATCAAAGATCACAAAATAGGCAATAGATTATCAGCACATGTGACACAAAATCAGATAATCAAACCACCATCTTAAGCAAACTATCTTCAGTAGGAGAATTCAAACCAAGTTGCTAAAATCCTAAAATAAATTTCTTAATCCACCGCATCTAAGTTCATTTCTCCTATTCGACATCTAAATCAATTCAAGAACAACAAGACACCCGGAAAGGGGAAAAAAGGGAAACATGGTGTAATGAAAGAAACATAATCATGAAAAAACGAATCAGCCCTGAAATTTGTATTCGCTTTTATACAAAGGAGTCCTTACTAAGTTAGGAGGGGTCCAAAGTGTAAATCTTTCAAAAAAGTACGTTAAATATCGTATAAATGCAACGGAGATGCAAAATGCAAAATGCCCAATAAATCAGAAAAACAATGAAATTGAGCTCAAAAATTACAATTATCGAGATGTTCAATGGAAAAATAAAAACAGGAAGCTGATATTTGATGGGTATTTTTTATTCTTTGAATGAACATGAATTCCCTAATCTTCATATTTCTTTCATCAAGAAAGCTAAAGTGTTGAATTGAAATCAGTTCAGAAAACACACTTTAAAATACTAAAAAATGCAAAGAAAGCACCATGAATATGAATATATAAAGTATTAATCGCCTGCCAAGAATAGAAAGAGAAGCCCACCTCAGAAAACAGTGACCGGAAGTAGTTCCGGCAGCTTAGGAGGCCGGAGATTGTAAAGAAACTGAGAGAGCGGATGGCGAGCAGCTGAATGGGCTTTTGTGGGTTTTGGGTTTTTCTGGGGTGACGAAAGAAAAAGAACTCCCACTTGCTGGGTTTTGGATTTGGGTGTATCCATGTTGACCCGGCCCAATTTTATTTTATTTTATTTTTTAACATTTTGAAAACACACATACACACATATAACACACATTGATATTGATTGAGAAGAATGGGTTGATTTGGACAATCTAGATCAACTTTTGATAATCTATATGTAGGTAATTAGTGCTTTGTAGTGTTTGGAAGCGTTTCACTTTCGCAATTGAATGGCTTTCAAAAAAGAAACAAAGGAAAAATGCACTTTTCATCCTCAAAGTTTGGATAATTGACCAATTGCATCCTCAATGTTTCACCCCAAACACATTTCATTCTCAAAGTTTCATAATTTTGGCCAATTAAGAATAATTGACGGGAAATGACAAATTGATCGTTAGAACCAACGGTTTTACCCAACAAAAAATGGGTAAAATCGAATGGAGCCATTTTTAACGAAACAATTGCAACAGACAAAAAGAAAGCTCCATTCTTCTCCTTCTTCCCTCTGTCTTTCTGCAACTCCAAAATTTTTTTGCCAATTTCTGAAGCTTTTTAAACATTTCATCCTCAGCGCATCTGGCAGTGGTTCTGAAGTCTCATTTTTGCCTAATGAGGAGCAGAAGTTCTAAAATCTCCAGTGGTTCATTAACTCCATTCTGCAACTGTGGGTTGAGAACAAAAATGAGCACCTGTTGGCGCGGCGAGAATCCGGGAAGAAGATTCCTTGTCTGCTCTCTGTGGCCGGTAAGAAATATTTATCTAAAAATATTGGTCATTCAATGTGTTAATTTATCTAACTAATTTTTGAAAAATGTCATTATTGTTATGGTAGAGACCTGAGAGATGCATGTACTTTGAATGGGTTGATAAGCCAATTTGTCCAAAAAGGAGAGTTCTCATTCCTGGTTTGCTGAAAAAGATTAAAAAAATGGAAGAACAAGTTGAAAGAATGCGTCAGAGGGAGAAATTTTTTATTACGATAATTGTGCTTTTGGTGGTTTTGCTAGTACTGAGTTGGAGCAGTAAAGGTGAGGGAAAAGCAAAGGGAGGCAAGTTGCTGCTAACACTGGAGTGATTCTGCTAAAATTGCAGAAGAACATTTTGAAGCTGGCCTTGTTTGTTGTTGGAATGAGAGTTGCATTTTTCCTTATGAAGTAATATCCAATTGCAGGGTATAGAAAGGGACTTATTTTGTTTGTACAAAGGTTCCAAATGAACTTTGCAATTTATGTAAAAGGTGGGATTTAGGAAGGGAAATGTATTTGGCAACAATGCAATTTATGAACTCCGCAATTTAGTTTGTTTGTAAAGCTATGCGTTAAGTGCAAGAAAATGGTCCTTGTCAAAGTGTTGTTCCTATCATATACATAAAATGACCATGAACTGATAAACTATATGTACTGATAATACAAACAGATGCAAATAAACCAAACTGGAAAACAAATGCAAATAATATAAACAGATGAACATGAAAACAGTTGCCACATATATATCATAACTTCAATAAAATTAAAGTGCATTCCAAATGAAATAAAGCAAACTACATGACTGTTGTTGAACATGGGTCCATAAACGAAATAAAGCAAGTTATCACATTACAGCCTGCACTTCCATAATTACTAGGGAAGGCAAATGTTGAAACAACAAAAGTCATGTTAATTACAAAAGTAGTAACTTGGCTTAAACAAAAGCAGCAACTATTCAGTATGTTATTTCTCCAATCACAATAGTTTCTCCTCTCCCTTCGATCTAGATGAACTAGGAACACTTAAATCTGCCTTGGCAGCAGCAGCAACATGCATATGAACATCTCTAATCCTGAAGGTCATCTCTACTTGTTCTTTAGTTTGTGTTCTGGCTTGTTTGGTGCTATATTTGACTTGAGACCTTGACAGTCCAAACATTTCATACATATCCTAATCCACTTGATCTGAAGCAAAGGATGTTATGTCAATCTCAACCAGTGGCTCAGCATCCTGTTGATATTTAGTGTTTGAATCATCATTACAAACTACAGTTGCAACTCTTCTTGTACATTGCTGTCTCTTCTGCACAAAACAGTGAGGTAGCAAAAGTCAAATTGCATAAAGACAAAAATCAAAAAATATAGCAGGTTTTTATACTCTTTTATTTGAAGACTCAGCAGCAGGCTTCTTGGCTTTTCTTGTTCCCTATAGTTTAATTAGAAAACATGTCATTTATATACCAAATAGCAAAGATAGATGTAACAAATCATCAAGACAACTTACAGCTTTTTTTCCATCTTAGCTTGCTAGATTGTTGGTAGAAGCAGCAACTTGGTTTGAACTAATATCAATTTCTGCAACTTCTCCATCTTGAGCAGCTTTTTGAACTAATATCAATTTCTGCAACTTCTCCATCTTGAGCAGCTTTGAGAAGCTTGCAGGACCTCATATTATGTCCCCTTTGATGACAATATCTATATTTGTTAATATGTCCCACTCTCGTTACCTTCTTCTTAGTTTTTTCCTTGGATTGTTGAATCTCCTCTGCACTTCTCCTTCTCAGCTTCTTAGGCCTTCCAGGTGCTCTCCCATATAAGGGTGGCAAAGAACCTTCACCAACATCAGTAAGCCCCAATTCACTTTCTTCATTCATGGGACACACTAATCCTTCATAGCACTTCATATATGTCTTCACTGTATACCATTTTAAAACATATAGCAGAGGATCCTTTTTAACCATCCACAATGCAACAATGGCATGGGGACAGGGAATACCTGTTAGTTCCCATTTTCTGCAAGAGCATATTTGCTCCTTGATGTTCACTGCATATTGGTCACTATATGGGCAGCTAACTTCATAAAGATCATCATTTGATTTGAATGGAAAACAGTCAGGTGTTCTATCTGTATTTTTCTACATAATGTGAACAATTCTGGGGCAGTGAGGATAAGTCTGCCACTTCTCTTTGGCCAGATCCCTATTTTTTTGCATTCTCTGCATCATGTACAGTCGTATTGTTTCAACATTTCAATTATTGACTTCTCTCTAGTATCAAGATTTTGTTGTTGAAGCACTCACAGATATTATTCAATAACATAGCACATTTAGGATGAGTGTTAAAGTAAACTTTGCTCCATTGATTTGGTGGTTTGTCATCAAATCACTTGGCTGCCTCTACATCAATTTCAGCCATTTCTTCCATTCTGCTAATGAATTGGGGTGGTGTTGTTTCTTTGGCAATAGTCCAAAATGCTCTCCTCGAACTTTCTCCTTTGAAACCAGCAGATGAACACACAAAATCTGTGGGTTGCATTTGGGAAAATCATATCACATGCTTCAATTAGATCTTTTTGTTTGTCACTCATTATTGTCCACTTATAATCCTTTTCAATTTTCAAATGTTCTTTCAATAGTTTGAAGAACCAGCACCATGAGTCGTTATTTTCACCCTTTGCTGTAGCATATGCAATTGGAAAAATGCCATTATTGGCATCAACTCCAACAGCTGCTAGCAAAACTCCTCCTACTAATCCTTTCAAAAAAGTGTCATCTACTCCAATAAATTGCTTACATCCAGCTAGGAAACCATGCTTCACTCCAGCAAAACAGATGTACAGCCTCTCAAATCTGCCTTTCCCTGTTTTTGAGTCTTTCAAGCCATCAACAATTTTCATTATAACAGTGCTACCAAGGTTGGATTTTAGAATTTCATGCATATAAACTCTTAATTTACTGTACTGGTCTTTTTTACTGTCCTGAACAACTTTCATTGCTTTTCTTCTTGTACTATATGTTTGATTTTTTGTGAAGGAGCATCTATATTCTTTCATTACTGTCTTCCTAAAATGCTCCAAATCTAGTTTAGGATTATACCTAAACTCTTCACAGTACTTCCTAGCTACCCATCCAGAATGCACAAGAGGGTTATCATTTGTAAAATCACATGTTTGATTATTTTCAAATGTTATTATTTAAATAGTTCCATCCCCACTTAACTTTCTAGCATATATAACGCAATTACATTCACTATTTCTGCATCTAGCCCTCACTCTACTGTATCTTGTTTCACAAACTTACAAGACTTGTCTTGTTTCACACTATAATTATGTATAGCAGTCTTGAAAAGTTTCAGACTTGTAAAGGACATGTACAGCTTTAATTTTGGATTGTCAATATATTTAGGATCAAAAGAACGAGATCTCAATTTAGACTCTTCATCATCAGACTCATGGATGCTTTCAAAATCAGATTCAGAATCAGGATCATGCTCTGTTTCATCAGAATCAAGAACCTTCTCTATTTCATTCAAAGAATCAAGAACCATATGTTCTTTCCTGTGATTGTCTACCCCCAACCATTCAGTATTTTTGTCAACATTATCATGAAATATATCATCATCAGCATCATTACCTATTTCATAATCTGAATCAATAGCCGAAAATAAAATCTCATCACTTGTATTGGAATCATTATCACAATTATTAGCAGCACACCCTCCTTGACCTTCATCCCTAATATTATTATTACCATCACCATTTTGGGATTCATTTTCTATCTCATCTACCTCATACGGATCATAACCAAGTTGTTGTATTAGAATTTCATGAAAGAATACTTCAAGGTATAAGTTAACTTCCTTAGTTGGTCTAACCTCCCCCTTAACATAATCATTCAACTCCCTATTGATGTCTATCCTCTTAAAAGTGTTATTTTCCCAATTATAGTACACCTTATGATCACATACACCAGCATTCTCAGTTAATCTATCCACTTCGAAAACACTTAGACCTATACTCTCAATATAGTAAAAAATACACAAATCTCCACCTTTGTAATAGGGATCAGGAGTATATGAAATGAGGCCTCCATGGTGACATCTTAATGTGATAAATGTGCTCCCCATTTCTGGTTAAAGAAAACAATATATATCAGACTCTTCAGGGAAAAAAAAACTGCATCATTTCAACACAACAAACTATTGACCCACATAAAAACTACCTAACAAGGACCACTTTAACACTTTTTTCATGCACATGGCCGGCAAAATAAACCAAGTATTATTGTTTATTAGTCACTCTCACCACAAAATTATAGTCAAACAGTAACTATCATCAGACATAAGGGACCACATTCACACTATAATAATCAAATCAAGACAAATTTTTTAATTTATTTATACCTCATGCAAATGGCTAGATCTGGAAAAAAAAATAGCCATAAATTATAATGGGAAAAAAGTACAAACACAAGGGACCACATATCAGATTTTCTTCTCCAAAAAAACACATATCTTTATGCAATGTAGTTGTTGATTTTGGATATAAATACCGTAATTTGGGGGTGGACAAATGTGGAGCTCTTTCTTCGGCAATGCCATTTTTTTCTTCACCTAAAATACTCCACGGATGCCATCTATACCCTCCTTTTTGCTAGCAGATGCTCGAAAAGTGGATGAAACGATTGGCCAAACAAAACTTTTAGGGCTGAAGAATGAAGAAGAAAGAAGGAGAAGACTGAAGCTTTTTTCCTTTTGCTATTTTCCAAATTTTTATCCATTAAAAAAAGTGGCTCCAGTTGGATCTGACCCCGTTATGTTGGGTATAAAGTTGGATCTAACGGATCGTGCTTTTCACGTGCAAAGTTCCGTCCCAATATTTAATTTGTCCTCCATTTCCCGTCAATTATCCTTAATTGGCCAAAATTACGGAACTTTGAGGATAAAATATGTTTGGGGTGAAACATTGAGGATGAAATTGATCAACCCTCCAAACTTTGAGGATGAAAAGTGCATTTTTCCCAAGAAACAACCTCTCATCACCTCTCTTTGTTGAAAGAAGATTTGAGTGCATCAAATTGACATTGTGAAACACACAGCAAACAGCAAACAGTATCAATGAAACGGGAAGGGAAAATATCAGTTTTCATCTTTAAATTTTGTATCATGAACACATATTTCGTGTTCAAACTCATACATTTAGTATCTGAACTATCAATTTTTGACCAATTTATCCACAAATAGAACACCAATCAATTTGAACGGAAATTGAGCACTTGATGAGCCAAAATTTGTTCAGTAAAAAACCTTACATGACTTAAATTCAACGAAATAAAACGACTATATTCACTCTTCCAACTCCGATACCTTTCTTTCCAACTCCAATATCCGTTCAATCCAATTAATTTCCTGGTTGATGATGAAATTGATAAAAAATTGATAGGTCAAACACTAAATATGTCATGCTAGAAAGTTTGAGAACAAAATGTGTTCATGACCCAAAGTTTAGGGATGAAATCTAGTATTTTCCCAAACAGGAACTACATGTTCATCTTACCAACCATGATCAAAAGCACTTGCTAATCTAAAAATCAAGACTGTTACAAACCGGAAATCAAATATCTACTTGAAACATTTCAACGATCTTTTGATGTTCAAGGCAAGGGATGCTCTCATTTTACAACAACATGAACTACTAGCTTAGGCCGGGTACTTTAGAAAAGGAGAGAATCCACTAACAAGCAGAGCCTAATAAGGATTTTTAGGATGCCAAACAGAAAGACTGCCCCAGAAATATGCACTTCAAAAGGGAGCAGGCTAACATTCTACTTTTACATACTGCAATTCAAGGATGTACATTAAGCAGAGCCATACACGTCTTTCCACAGTGAGAATCAACTTGTTGACTAAGCCTACGATCTATCCAAAACACCAGCAGCCCAAAGGATGCAGCAAAACTACTCAATAACGTGAAAATTACAGTTCTATCACAAAATTCCCTCGAGACAGTGTACAAGGGAGGTTGTCCAAACAGTCAGATTTTTACCCGCCTAGCAGCCAGATCTTCCTCATAGTTAAGAGTTCTTGCAGCATTTAAAAGCATGTCCACACCACCAGATTTTTCTAGAGCCTCCTCTTTTTCCCCCTTTTCTACATGAGGTGTTTTTCCCTCTCCGGGTCTCTTGGTTAATCTCCTTTGCAGGTTCTCATATGTCCTTTTAGCCTTGCGTATGCACCGAATTTCAGCATCACACTTTCTACAAAACCATTTGCCCCTAGGAACCGTGCTGCGTGGTGGTTGCATGCAGTAGATGTGATATGCATGATCACACCCATCACACAAGACAATCTTGTCATCATCACGATCAGCAAGGCAAACTCTACAAAGACATGAAGGACAATACCACTGGGGGCCATAAGAATCCAACTGCTTACTGGTCAAGCATCGTGCATGGTAAAACTTGTGGGGGCAGAAGGCATGGCCACATATTTTAAGCTTTTCACCATTTTTTATGTCCATTCTACAGACATTGCAATGAGTAATAACTTTACCCCCTTTTGCAACATTAGTATCATCATCTGTTAAACCATTTGAACTCTCCTCCAACTCCATCAGTGTTTCTGCATTACTAAGCTCATCAACTCCATCATGAACTAAAGACCTGGGGGCATTCAACCTGTCACAAACCACACAGTTGTCATGTGGTGATTCAATCCCCTTAGCAGTACAACTGGCACAGTACCAACTTCTCTGAGGACTTTCTTTGATTGGTGGCTCAATGCAGGCGACGTGATACATCTCCTCGCATGAATCACAGACGAGACAATCTCTTCCATCGGCTTTGCCTCCACATCGCTTGCAGGTGCAGACTTTGTATATGCCACAGGCATCCGTTTGCTCCACTTTAGCATGCATGTCAGATTCTTGGGTCACAAACTGTTAAACAATAAATTCCGTAAGTTCACTTCCAGTACCTAATCACATAATAACATGATCCTGAAACTACATTTCATTGCAGAAACAACCCTCTTTCCAACAGCTTCCATATTGGATAGCAAAGACAATAATATGACTAGCGATATATTTTAATATTACAACTTCTCAACTAGATTAAAAATCTGAGCATATGATCCTGAAGAATCTAGGTGGAAAATCATTGAAAGTCCGCAAGATTTTTTAATCAAATCTACTGATACACAATTTATGCAATTTGAAAAGAACTATAACAAGTGAATGTTCAATTTATGCAATAATTAATACTTACATGATGCTAACTAGATATTGATCCAGTGAAAACACCAAAATATGATATCGTACAAATTCATGCAAATAAAAACCAGAGATCTATCTCCTATGATACTTAACCAAACACATTAACAACAATCAGAATCTCTAGCAGCTTGTCACGTCCTATGTTCATTCCAGACTAAACATCTCTTCAAAACAGATTCTAATGCTTCACCTTAAAACCCAGATGTACGGACCCCTAAAAATATTAAAAGACTGGGGGAAAGATGGGGGAAAGAAGAGAGAGAGAGAGAGAGAGAGCAGTTTAACCATGCACTCATAGCATTACTTCCCTCAAACAGCAATGCAGGAAAAGTGGTTGTCAATTTTAGTTTTTACTTTCAGTTATTTGTTCCCTTTTGTACAACTTAGAAACAAACATTCAAATATTGTCCAAGCAAAGTGGTAAAATAGGTTTTTCCAGTAATACTACTTGATCTTCAAAGCCAAACCAGCTAAGCCAACCACCCTTTTACAGAAGCAAAACCCTCACCTCAATGGCACCATCATCAGAAGCAGCACGCATCAACCCCCCAATCTGACAAAGCAAACAACAATAATTACATCAATATATTGACCTGTATAAAACTGGAGGACAATGCGACAAACAA